AAAATCTTAAAAATTTTTTTTTGATTTCAAGCCCATTTTGAGAAAAAAAGATCCAACAGAAATTAGCGCTAAAAAATAAAAAGCCCAATTAATAATAATTAAACTAAAAATATGTGAAACGCTTTACCAGTTATTATACAATCATATTCCCATTACGGTTTAAAACGTAATAATATTCCCCCCCATTACCCCAAGGCTTGCCGGGTCCGGCGTACTTTCGCTCCAAATTTTCCTGGTTGATCAATCCCCGTTCATGCCGCAAAGTCCATATCCCCCCCCCAAATCTTTATCCGTTGGCAACACTTTCCGGCCCCCCCTCCAGAATATTGTTAAGGAGGACTCGCTTGGAGACACCCCCCCTTTAAACACCCGGCGCTTTCCCACCAGACATTTTTATTTTCCTTGTTAGTCGCTTCCTGCACCCGGATGGAGTTTTTTCCCAGCTCGGCTGTTTTTGACAAATTTACACCTTTTTTTTTTTTTTTTAGCCCCCCCACATTTATTTCCTTTGTGTCCGTTGATTTTTAGACTGGGAATCAATTTTTTTATCTTTTTTTTTTTTTGTGATTTTTTTGGGTTTTTTTTTCCTGGAGAAAAAACCCAGGACTAGTGTTTTTTTAGAGGATTTATTTTAGCTGGACGCTTTTTTTCCACCCCCCCTTTCCGGTCCGACGCTTTCCCCCCCCCCCCCCCTTTCCGGTCCGGACGCTTCCCCCCCCCCCCCCTTTCCGGCTTTCCGACCGCTTCCCCCGCCCCCTTTTTCCGGTCCGGACGCTTTCCCCCCCCCCCCTTTCCGTCCGGTACGCTTTTCCCCCCCCCCCCTTCCGTCCGGGACGCTTCGACCCTTCATCCCCACCCCCCCCCTTCCGGTCCGGACGCTTTCCATTACTTTTTATTTTCCGGTTCGGAACTTTTCCCCCCCCCCCTTCCTTTTTTACGCATCCAGTATTTCCCCCCCCCCCCCCATTTTTTTCCCGGACGCTTTCCCCCCCCCCCTTTCCGGTCCGTATTTTTTTTCCCACCCCCCTTTACCCACTTTTCCGGTCCGGCACCGCTTCCCCCCCCCCCTTTCCTGGAAACCGTTGACAGCTTTCCTCCCCCCCTTTCCAGGTTCGGGACGCTTTCCCCCCCCCCCTTTTTCCGGACGCTTTCCCCCCCCCTTTCCGACGCTTTCCCCCCTTTTTTTATCAAATTTTTTTGGTGGTTTCCTGGTGTCACGGACGCTTTCCGCCCCCCCCCCCCTTCCGGACCTTTCCCCCCCCCCCTTTCCGGTCCCGGACGCTTTCCCCCCCCCCCCTAATTCCTTCCGGACGCTGTTTCCCCCCCCCCCCTTTCCGGTCTGGACGCTTTCCCCCCCCCCCTTCGGTTAATTTAAATGGACTATTTTTTCCCCCCCCCTTTTCCGGTCTGGACGCTTTCACCCCCCCCCCCCCCCCCCCCCCTTCCGGTGTCTGGATGCTTTCCCGGCCAATTTTTTCAGCTTTCAGCGCTGTTGACACTTTGACACCAAATTGCGCGGTTCATGCAACACTGTACCCATATTTTTTTTTAGCATTTTTTTTGAGACAATAAAGCTTTTATTTTTTGGTATTTATTCACCTCTGGGATTTTTATTTTATTTTGCTATAATAAATGAAAAAGTCCAAAAAAATTTTGAAAAAAAAAGTTTTTTCTTATAAAATTTAGCAAATAAATAATATTTCATCATAAATCTCGGCAAAAATGTATTCAGTTATCTTTTTAGTAAAAAAAAAAAAAAACCCCAAATTATTTTTTAACCAAAAATGTATAATTTTAAAAAAAAAATTTTTTTTTTTTTTTTTTATTTAATTTTTTTTTTTTTTTAACATTTTTTATTTAATTTTTTTTTTATTTGTTTTTTTTTTGTTTTTTTTTTACATACAGTCACCCTAGCAGTGCAGTGTCACCATGGTGACACTGTACTACTTGGGGTGATGAAGAATTTTTTTTTTCTAAACTGATTGCTTTTACACCCATAAAGGCTGTTAAAAGCAATCATTTCTCCTTCTCTCTCTCTTGTGGCATTCCTGCAGCCATTAAGAAATACAGTGTGAGCTGTGATTGGTCACAGCTTGTCACATGGTACAAGGCTGTTGTGAATAGCCCTGTACCATGTGATCTCTGTGATCATTTACAGATTTCACACGTGTAAGCAATGATGGTCAGAGTGACATCTTGCTTACTACTCTTCATGTGATCACTGATTGGCCATCAGTGATCACATCATCGGGACCTCACACAGAGGTCCCGTACGATGATCGGTGTTCCTCTGTGTGGTCCGGAGGACACAGCGGGCACCGGATCGCGATGCTGCGCGCTTCTCCAGCTCAATAACAGGTGCCGTATGTGTGACATGCACCATGTGTCTCAGAAGACTGGTTGGGGAGGGGAAAGCAAACTTTTTTTCCAATCGCCTAGGGGTGGTCAGAGCGGAGGTTTTTGTTGGCTTCTTTTTTGTACCTGCCTCCCAAAAGGGGTGTTTAACGGGAGCCGTGGTCAGAAATTGGAGCTTCCCCTTATTTTTGGTTGGGCTCCGCTTTGTACCTTATTGATCTTTTTTTTACTTGCTCCCCATTGGAGGGGTCAATCATTAACGGGGAGGCAGGGGGTTGTTATTTGGGGCAGCACGGTGTATCATTGGCAGCGCGGTGTATTTCATGGGGCGGCGCGGTAGAGTATCATTGGGGCAGCGCGTTAATCATGAGCGCAGCGCGCTTTTGGAGATGGACATTAAGCTGAAGGGCAGCACGGAGTATCATTGGGGCAGCACGGTGTATCATTTGGGGGGCGGCGCGGTGTATCATTGGGCGGCGCGGTGTATCATTAATTGTTGGTCGGGGTTTTCATTTATTGGCTCGTTTTGTTTAATCATTGGGCGGCGATCGGTGTATCATTGGGGCGGCGGCGCGGTGTATTAATTGTGGGGCGGCGCGGTGTATCATTGGGGGCGGCGCGGTGTAAATCAATTGGGGCGGCGCGGTGTATCATTTTTGGCGCGGTGTATCATTGGGGCGCGCGCGGTGTATCATTGGGCGGCGCGGTGTATCATTGAATTTTTGTATCATATGGGGCGGCGCGTATTTTATTGGGGCGGCGCGGTGTATCATTGTGTATCATTGGGCGGCGCGGTGTATCATTGGGCGGCGCGGTGTATCATTGGGGCGCGCGGTGTATCCTTCATTGGGGCGGGCGGTTTAATTTTTACTTTTCATTGGGGCGGCGCGGTGTATCATTGGGGCGGCGCGGTGTATCATTGGGGCGGCGCGGTGTATCATTGGGGCGGCGGCGGTGTATCATTGGGGCGGCGCGGTGTATCATTGGGGCAGGCGCGGTGTATCATTGGGGCAGCGCGGTGTATCATTGGGGCGGCGCGGTTTGGTATCATTGGGGCGGCGCGGTGTATCATTGGAGCGGCGACGCGGTGTATCATTGGGCGGCGCGGTTTTAATCATTGGGGCGGCGGCGGTTTATCATTGGGGCGGCGCGGTTATCATTGGGCGGCGCGGTTATCATTGGGGCGGCGCGGTGTATCATTGGGGCGGCGCGTGTATCAATTGGGGCGGCGCGGTGTATCATTGGGGCGGCGCGGTGTATATCATTGGGGCGGCGCGGGTATCATTGGGCGGCGCGGCTGTGTATCATTGGGGCGGCGCGGTGTATCATTTGGGGCGGCGCGGTTGTATCATTGGGGCGCGCGGTGTATCATTATTAATTTTATCATTGGGGCGGCGCGGTTGTATCATTGGGGCGGCGCGGTGTATCATTGGGGCGGGCGCGGTTGTATTGGCATTGGGCAGCACATGGATAAATGGTTAGCCACTTCCGCCTGCAGTACTCGGGTTATCGGTTTAAATCCCAACCACGGCACCACCTAACCTGGAGTTGCATGTTTCATTGGTGCCCTCTTTTAATTTTTTCCGGGTTTCCAGTTTCCTCACACTCCAACAGACATGCTGGAAAAGTTTTTTTCCTTGGCCTTTATTTTTGTTTTTGTTTTTTAATTTCCTAGTATCTATTTTTTCACATGGGGTTATTAGTTTTTGCTCATTAGGATGCCATGGATCTTGGCTGGTAAGGAGCTCCCAGTTTACCTTTGCTGAGTCCTCGCTGCCAGTCCTTATTTTGTTGCACAACGGCGGCAGATTTTGTTTTCATGGACTTTGCGCATGCGCGGCGGATTGATCACAGATTGTACCAGGAGTCTTGGATTAAAAACGCAACCCGGCGCTGGTTTTTTTAAAATGGGCGCAGTATATATTTTCCGCTATTATGTTGGATATATGATTTATGCTGTATAGGTTTCACTTTATATAAATATTTTTTTTTATTTTTACTTTTTATTGGTTTTTTTATTTAATTATGTATTTTAATTATTCTATTATTATTATTGTATTTATTTATTTTTTTAGCGCTGTTTCTGTTGGATTTTTTTGTTTTGATGGGCGTGATATCAAGAATTTTGGTGCTAGCTGCTTGAATTTCGCTCGTAAATTATTACATTGATTTTTTTTTTTTTTATTACCTGCTTAGAACTCACTGATAATACTACCCGGCTCATCCTCTCCTACAGTAAAGCTGTGTTTGGGAATGTGAGACAAAGCATAGGTGGAATACAGGTTTCACTCTGAGTTGACTGGTGACCGTTTCCTGCAGCAGTTTTGTGTCTCTGCCCCTCCCACAATGGGAGATTTCCCCCAGTAGGTGTCTCTGCCCCTCCCACAATGGGGAGATTTCCCCCAGTAGGTGTCTCTGCCCCTCCCACAATGGGGAGATTTCCCTGCAGTAGTTTGTGTCTCTGCCCCTCCCACAATGGGGAGATTTCCCCCAGTAGTTTTGTGTCTCTGCCCCTCCCACAATGGGGAGATTTCCTGCAGTAGTTGTGTCTCTCTGCCCCTCCCACAATGGGGAGATTTCCCTGCAGTAGTAGTTTGTGTCTCTGCCCCTCCCACAATGGGGAGATTTCCCTGCAGTAGTTTGTGTCTCTCTGCCCCTCCCACAATGGGGAGATTTCCCCCAGTAGGTGTCTCTGCCCCTCCCACAATGGGGAGATTTCCCCCAGTAGTTGTGTCTCTGCCCCTCCCACAATGGGGAGATTTCCTGCAGTAGTTGTGTCTCTGCCCCTCCCACAATGGGGAGATTTCCTCGCAGTAGTTTGGTGTCTCTGCCCCTCCTACAATTGGGACATTTCCCTGCAGTAGTTTGTGTCTCTGCCCCTCCCACAATCGGGAGATTTCCCTGCAGCAGTTTGTGTCTCTGCCCCTCCCACAATGGGGAGATTTCCCTCAGTAGTTGTGTCTCTGCCCCTCCCACAATGGGGAGATTTCCCTGCAGTAGTTTGTGTCTCTGCCCCTCCCACAATGGGGAGAATCCCCTCAGTAGTTTTGTGTCTCTGCCCTTCCCACAATGGGGAGATTTCCCTGCAGCAGTTTGTGTCTCTGCCCCTCCCACAATGGGGAGATTTTCCCCCAGTAGTTGTGTCTCTGCCCCTCCCACAATGGGGGATTTCCTCGCAGTAGTTGGTGTCTCTGCCCCTCCCACAATGGGGAGATTTCCCTGCAGTAGTTTGTGTCTCTGCCCCTCCCACAATTGGGACATTTCCCTGCAGTAGTTTGTGTCTCTGCCCCTCCCACAATGGGGAGATATCTCTGCAGTAGTTTCTCTGCCCCTCCCACAATGGGGAGATTTCCTTTCAGTAGTTGGTGTCTCTGTGATCTATGAGGAAAGTTGTCACGATCGTTCGGTTTCACATTGGAAATATCTATTAATTCTGGTGAGGAGACGCCCCCATTTGTATCCCCGACCAATCATTGCTCCTTCATTTACCAAATGGAATATCGGCGCAAAACCACTTGGAAGTTGTGGTTACCCCTGCAGATGCCCCTCCCCCACCCTTTCCCCTATCATTCAGCAGATTTCTGGCTCCCAGGTGTCTGTCATACAGTAACAAGCTGAGATTAGAAGCAGTCTCTTAAAGGGAGTGCTGCTAATCTCATTGTGTTACCTGTATAAAAGACACCTGTCCACAGGAGCCATCAAACCATCAGATTCCAAACTCTCCACCATGGCAAAGACCAAAGAGCTGTCCAAGGATGTCAGGGACAAGATGGTAGACCTACACAAGGCTGGACTGGGCTACCAAACTATGGCCAAGCAGCTTGGTGAGAAGGTGACAACAGTTGGTGCAATCATTCACAAATGGAAGAAACACAAAACAAGTGTCAGTCTCTGGCTAGGTCTGGTGCACCATGCAAGATCTCACCTCGTGGAGTGTCAATGATCATGAGAACAGTGAGGAATCATCCCAGAACTACACGTGAGGATCTTGTCAATGATCTCCAGGCAGCTGGGACCACAGTCACCAAGAAAACAATTGGTAACACACTACGCCGACAAGGACTGAAATCCTGCAGTGCCCCCGCACGGTCCCTCTGCTCAAGAAAGCCCATGTCCTGGCCCGTCTGAAGTCTGCCACTGAACATCTGAATGATGCAGAGGAGGACTGGGTGGGGAAGTGTTGTGGTCAGAGGAGACCAAAATCCAGCTCTTTGGCATCAACTCAACTCGCCGTGTTTGGAGGAGGAGGAATGCTGCCTATGACCCCAAGAACACCATCCCAACTGTGAAACATGGTGGTGGAAACATTCTGCTTTGGGGGTGTTTTTTCTGCTAAGGGGACAGGACAACTGCACCGCATCAAAGGGATGATAGACGGGGCAATGTACCCTCAAATCTTGGGTGAGAACCTTCTTCCCTCAGCCAGGGCATTGAAAATGGGTGGTGGATGGGTGTTCCAGCATGACAATGACCCAAAACACACACGGCCAAGGCTACAAAGGAGCGGCTCCAGAAGAAGCACATTAAGGTCCTGGAGTGGCCTAGCCAGTCTCCAGACCTTCATCCGATTGAAAATCTGTGGAGGGAGCTGAAAGTTCGAGTTGCCAAACGTCAGCCATCAAACCTTAATGACTTGGAGAGGATCTGCCAAGAGGAGTGGGCCAAAATCCCTCCTGAGATGTGTGCGAACCTGGGGGCCAACTCCAGGAAACGTCTGACCTCTGTGATTGCCAACAAGGGATTTGTCACCAAGTACTAAGTCATGTTTTGTGAAGGGATCAAATCCTTCTTTCCCTCATGAACATGCAGATCCGTCATCATTTGTTAGACGCATTTCTGCTGAATTTGTTGTTGTATTCTGTCTCTCAGTGTTACACCGAACATTCCATTGTTAGAACCGATCATTTCACCGAACATTCCATTGTTAGACCGATCATTTCTGTGTGAGGGGCGAACATTCCATTGTTAGACCGATCATTTCTGTGTGAGGGGCGAACATTCCATTGTTATCACCTGTGTGAGGGGCGAACATTCCATTTAGACCGATCGTTCGTTTCTGTGTGAGGGGTAAACATTCCATTGTTAGACCGATCATTTCTGTGTGAGGGGTAAACATTCCATTGTTAGACCGATCATTTCTGTGTGAGGGGCGAACATTCCATTGTTAGACCGATCGTTTCTGTGTGAGGGGTAAAACATTTCTGTGTGAGGGGTAAACATTCCATTGTTAGACCGATCATTTCTGTGTGAGGGGCGAACATTCCGCGAACATTTCTGTGTGAGGGGTGATAACATTCCATTGTTAGACCGATCATTTCTGTGTGAGGGGCGAACATTCCATTGTTAGACCGATCATTTCTGTGTGAGGGGCGAACATTCCATTGTTAGACCGATCGTTTCTGTGTGAGGGGCGAACATTCCATTGTTAGACCGATCATTTCTGTGTGAGGGGCGAACATTCCATTGTTAGACCGATCATTTCTGTGTGAGGGGCGAACATTCCATTGTTAGACCGATCATTTCTGTGTGAGGGGCGAACATTCAACATCAGGGCCAGGGGGAGCAAATACACATTTCCTTTATTGTATGTATATTTTTTTTCTCTGCAGACATCTGGGAGGTGATGGGTTATGATGGTTGTTCCTTCCTAATTAGAGGTGCATGGACACTGTAGACTCACATTCGGGCTCTCGGGGGTTGGCTATTGCACCATGTAGAACACAAGACTGTTAAGGGTTCTTCATTATTGCACATGAGACTTGGGAGGAGGGAGTGGAGGGAGCTGATCCCGTCTCATCAGAGGTATAGAGCTAGCTGGGCAGATCAGGTTGGTGTTGGGTGATGCCAGGCTGGTCCTGGTGCTGGTTGATGCCAGGCTGGCCCTGGTGCTGGTTGATGCCAGGCTGGCCCTGGTGCTGGTTGATGCCAGGCTGGCGCTGGGTGATGCCGGGCTGGCGCTGGGTGATGCCGGGCTGGAGCTGGGTGATGACACGCTAGTGCTGGGTGATGCCGGGCTGGCCCAGGTGCTGGGTGATGCCGGGCTGGTGCTGGGTGATGCGGGTGGTGCTGGGTGATGCGGGCTGGCGCTGGGTGATGCCGGGCTGGCCCTGGCGCTGGTTGATGCCGGGCTGGCGCTGGTGCTGGGTGATGCCGGGCTGGTGCTGGGTGATGCCGGGCTGGCCCTGGTGCTGGGTGATGCCGGGCTGGCGCTGGGTGATGCCGGGCTGGCCCTGGTGCTGGGTGATGCCGGACTGGCGCTGGGTGATGCCGGGCTGGCGCTGGGTGATGCGGGCTGGCGCTGGTTGATGCCGGGCTGGCGCTGGGTGATGCCGGGCTGGCGCTGGTTGATGCCGGGCTGGCGCTGTCTGATGCCAGGGAGGGCTTTGCGTGTTCCTGGCAGGCACATACACAGCCCATAGAGGAGGATGGAGGGGAGCGGCTGGGTGTAATCGGCACAAAGTAAATACTTCCTCCCGATGTCTTTTCACAGAGTTATTCCCATGTTTTAAATCCACCCCCTCCCCCCTCCAGGGGTTCTCTGGCTGGCACCCTGCAGTGCGTTGGTCATGTGCTCCCTGGGACCGCGTGTGATCTGCAGTTATCTCCAACATCCTGTTAAAAGCAGAACTTCATCTAGTAAAGGAAGCTGAAATAACCGATCGTCCCTTCGAGATCGTCCGGAGGCCAAGTCATCGATGTGCATTGCTCAATGGTTACAGAGGGAGCTGCATCACTGTGCAGGCGATGCTTAGGACAGCTTGTACTCCACCAGAACTGGAACCTGAACTTCAGCCTCCCCTCCCCTTCAGCCTTGCGCAGGTGTAGCGGCTCCTCCCCTTCAGCCTTGCAGTCTTGCACAGGTGTAGCGGCTCCTCCCCTTCAGCCTTGCGCAGCCTTGCGTGTGTAGCGGCTCCTCCCCTTCAGTCTTGCGCAGGTGTAGCGGCTCCTCCCCTTCAGTCTTGCGCAGGTGTAGGTGCTCCTCCCCTTAGCGGCAGGTGTAGCGGCTCCTCCCCTTCAGCCTTGCGCAGGTGTAGCGGCTCCTCCGCTTCAGCCTTGCGCAGGTGTAGCGGCTCCTCCCCTTCAGCCTTGCGCAGGGTGTAGCGGCTCCTCCCCTTCAGCCTTGCCTTGCGCAGGTGTAGCGGCTCCTCCCCCTCAGTCTTGCGCAGGTGTAGCGGCTCCTCCCCCTCAGCCTTGCGCAGGTGTAGCGGCTCCTCCCCCTCAGCCTTGCGCAGGTGTAGCGGCTCCTCCCCCTCAGCCTTGCGCAGGTGTAGCGGCTCCTCCCCCTCAGTCTTGTGCAGGTGTGCCGGCTCTGATTTCACTGCACATTGTGAGCTTCTCACAATGTGCATTACAAGCTGCAGCAAGTCAGAGCTCAGAGCTCCGCCTCATTTCCTGGCAGGAGGATGTCCAGCATCATCTAGCTCCCCAGCCTGACTTTTTCCCCCCTTTTCAATTCATTGGATGTCAGTTCTTTAAGTCATGAAGGCTCATCATGTGGGTGGCCTGCATTGTGGCTCGGAATGCCCTCCAAGATGGCATCCACCCATCAAGGCATTTGCATAACTCCTCCCAAGAACCAGCCCACTGTTTGCATTTTGCTGTTCATTTTTAGTGGCCTCCCAACACGCATACATGAAGTCAATTAAAACACGCCACTGAACCATTCATGTAATACGGAACACGTGTTCTGGTACACCCGCAATAGAGGCGGCGGGTATGGCTTTTGTGTTTAAGTGGCCATTAGAAATTAAAGGGCAACATCACATGTATTGACGTGTATAAAAATGTGCATATGGGTGTGAAAAGGCCTTTCATTTGTCTGTCAAATTTCTTTGCTAAAAGGCAATTTCACTTTTCACTTTTATTTAAATATTTATGCAATATATATAGATGCTACCTTTTATACAAACTGTATATATGGAGTTCTGTGTCCTGAATTCTGTCCTCTGACCAGTAGTGGGCGCTCTGTATATCCAGTATTGTCATCTAGTAGAAGGTGCTCTCTGTGGGGTTCCTGTATTCTGTCCTCTGACCAGTGTGGGCGCTCTGTATATCCAGTATTGTCATCTAGTAGAAGGTGCTCCCTCTGTGGTTCCTGAATTCTGTCCTCTGACCAGTAGTGGGCGCTCTGTATATCCAGTATTGTCATCTAGTAGAAGGTGCTCCCTGTGGTTCCTGTATTCTCTCCTCTGACCAGTAGTGGGCGCTCTGTATATCCAGTATTGTCATCTAGTAGAAGGTGCTCTGTGTGGTTCCTGTATTCTGTCCTCTGACCAGTAGTGGGCACTCTGTATATCCAGTATTGTCATCTAGTAGAAGGTGCTCTCTGTGGGGTTCCTGTATTCTGTCCTCTGACCAGTAGTGGGCGCTCTGTATATCCAGTATTGTCATCTAGTAGAAGGTGCTCCCTCTGTGGTTCCTGAATTCTGTCCTCTGACCAGTAGTGGGCGCTCTGTATATCCAGTATTGTCATCTAGTAGAAGGTGCTCCCTGTGGTTCCTGTATTCTCTCCTCTGACCAGTAGTGGGCGCTCTGTATATCCAGTATTGTCATCTAGTAGAAGGTGCTCTCTCTGTGTGGTTCCTGTATTCTGTCCTCTGACCAGTAGTGGGCGCTCTGTATTCCAGTATTGTCATCTAGTAGAAGGTGCTCTCTGTGGTTCCTGTATTCTCTCCTCTGACCAGTAGTGGGCGCTCTGTATATCCAGTATTGTCATCTAGTAGAAGGTGCTCCCTCTGTGGTTCCTGTATTCTGTCCTCTGACCAGTAGTGGGCGCTCTGTATATCCAGTATTGTCACCTAGTAGAAGGTGCTCTCTGTGTGGTTCCTGTATTCTGTCCTCTGACCAGTAGTGGGCGCTCTGTATTCCAGTATTGTCATCTAGTAGAAGGTGCTCTCTGTGGTTCCTGTATTCTGTCCTCTGACCAGTAGTGGGCGCTCTGTATATCCAGTATTGTCATCTAGTAGAAGGTGCTCCCCTCTGTGGTTCCTGTATTCTGTCCTCTGACCAGTAGTGGGCGCTCTGTATATCCTGTGATTTCTGTCCCTCAGTCAGTAGAGGGCGCTGTTCACTCATGTCTTTCCTCCATCTCATGCAGGGAGCAGTCCATGTCCTCTGTGGGGTTCTGTGTGATCAGCACTCAGAAGAGATGTTACCCGCTGGAAGATGCCACTCATATCGCCTTACGTGAGTCTCCATCATCAGACGGGAGATAGAGAGACACAAAGTAACATTGTTTATGAACATCGATCAGACGGGAGATAGAGAGATACAAAGTAACATTGTTTATAAACATCGATCAGACGGGAGATGGAGAGATACAAAGTAACATTGTTTATAAACATCGATCAGACGGGAGATAGAGAGATACAAAGTAACATTGTTTATAAACATCGATCAGACGGGAGATAGAGAGATACAAAGTAACATTGTTTATAAACATCGATCAGACGGGAGATGGAGAGATACAAAGTAACATTGTTTATAAACATCGATCAGATGGGAGATAGAGAGATACAAAGTAACATTGTTTATAAACATCGATCAGATGGGAGATAGAGATACAAAGTAACATCGTTTATAAACATCAATCAGATGGGAGATAGAGATACAAAGTAACATTGTTTATAAACATCGATCAGACGGGAGATGGAGAGATAAAAAGTAACATTGTTTATAAACATTGATCAGACGGGAGATGGAGAGATACAAAGTAACATTGTTTATAAACATCGATCAGATGGGAGATAGAGATACAAAGTAACATCGTTTATAAACATCGATCAGACGGGAGATAGAGATACAAAGTAACATTGTTTATAAACATCGATCAGATGGGAGATAGAGATACAAAGTAACATTGTTTATAAACATCGATCAGATGGGAGATAGAGATACAAAGTAACATCGTTTATAAACATCGATCAGATGGGAGATAGAGATACAAAGTAACATTGTTTATAAACATCGATCAGATGGGAGATAGAGATACAAAGTAACATCGTTTATAAACATCGATCAGACGGGAGACAGAGAGATACACAAAGTAACATTGTTTATAAACATCGATCAGACGGGAGATAGAGAGATACAAAGTAACATTGTTTATAAACATCGATCAGATACAAAGTAAGGGGGGAGATAGAGAGATACAAAGTAACATTGTTTATAAACATCGATCAGACAGGAGATAGAGAGATACAAAGTAACATTGTTTATAAACATCGATCAGACGGGAGATAGAGATACAAAGTAACAAATATAAAACACAAGATATTATTTGTTCATGAATGTTGTTCCTGAGCGTTGTGTGGGGGATGGGTATTCTTCGATGTGCATCGATCTCTCACATGGTCTGGTCTCCCGTCCTGCAGGCACAGTGCGGAGGTTCCTGGAGTCCCACGGGTCGGCTCTGGAGAAGGTGGTCTTTGCAGTCACAGAGCAGGAAGAGGTACCCCGAGGGATTTCTGTTTTCTCACCTGCGATCGTCTTTTCATGGTGCAGCTTCCCTGGCACTGATCGACTTTTCCTGACACCTAACACAAATATTTGCTTTCCTCTATCCAAGCTAAACGCATTCATACTAAAAAGAATTTTTTTTTTTTTTTTTTTCTTCTTCAGTAATTTTTTTTGTTTTTCTCTTTTATTCTCCCCCCACCCCCCCCCCCCCCCCCCCCCCCCCCCCCCTCCCCGGGCCAAAGCTCAGCTCTCACGCTGCACCCATATGTCCTTTTTATAATTTTCTTCACACAACTAGAACTTTCTTTTGGTGACATTTAATCACCGCCGGGGTTTTATTTTTTGCTAAATTAACAAAAAAAGACTGAAATTTTTGGAAAAAAAAAAAACACGTTTTTCTTTGTTTTTGTTATAAAAGTTTGCAAATAAATAATTGTTCTTCATAAATTTAGGCCGAGATGTATTCTGCTACATTTTTTTGGTGGAAATAACCCAAATCAGTATTTATTGAGTCTGTAGGAAAGTTATCGAGTTCACAAACTATGGGATATATCTGATGATCGATCGATCCTGAAGTACTGACGGACGATCTCATTTCTTGATATCCCCCAAATGTCAGGACAGGACAGATATCCCCCAAATGTCAGGATGGTACAGATATCCCCCCAAATGTCAGGACAGTACAGATATCCCCCAAATGTCAGGACAGGACAGATATCCCCCCAAATGTCAGGACAGTACAGATATCCCCCAAATGTCAGGACGGTACAGATATCCCCCAAATGTCAGGACGGTACAGATATCCCCCAAATGTCAGGACAGTACAGATATCCCCCAAATGTCAGGACGGTACAGATATCCCCCAAATGTCAGGATGGGACAGATATCCCCCAAATGTCAGGACGGTACAGATATCCCCCAAATGTCAGGACGGTACAGATATCCCCCAAATGTCAGGACGGTACAGATATCCCCCAAATGTCAGGACGGTACAGATATCCCCCAAATGTCAGGACGGTACAGATATCCCCCAAATGTCAGGACGGTACAGATATCCCCCAAATGTCAGGACGGTACAGATATCCCCCAAATGTCAGGACGGTACAGATATCCCCCAAATGTCAGGACAGGACAGATATCCCCCCAAATGTCAGGCTGGTACAGATATACCCCCCAAATGTCAGGCTGGTACAGATATCCCCCCAAATGTCAGGACGGTACAGATATCCCCCAAATGTCATAGTGGAGTTTGGAGTGTGACTGTTTGAGGTTGTGGACAGGTGTCTTTTATACTGATAACAAGTTCAAACAGGTGCCATTGATACAGGTAATGAGTGCAGGACAGAGGAGCCTCTTAGAGAAGAAGGTACAGGTCTGTGAGAGCCAGAAATCTTTCTTGTTTGTAGGCGACCAAATACTTATTTTCCCCATAATTTGCAAATAAATTCTTTCCAGATCAGCCAATGAGATTGTCTGGATTTGTTTTCTCATTTTGTCTCTGATAGTTGAGGTCTCCCTATGATGCCAATTACAGGCCTCTCTCATCTCTGTAAGTGGGAGAACTTGCACCATTGGTGGGGACTAAATACTTCTTTTGCCCCCACTGTATATACACATTCACATATATACAAAATCATAAAAAAAATTTTTATATAAACACACACAATAAAAAAATCTTACATTTTTTTTTTTTTTTTTAGAATAAAACAATAATAATTTCGTTCTACTTTAACTTTTGCAATTTTT